ATTTTAAAATCAGGTGAGTTTGAGATAAAGCGAATAAATAACTTGATAAAAAATGATAATAATCGTAAGATGATAATGTGACCTTGAAAAGAAAAAATAGAAGCGCTAGCTTTTCCCTTCATAGCGACATCATTTTATTTCGGTCAAATTTTAACGTAATATTAGGTGGCTTGTAAATGTTTCTTTTCGAGCTAGAATTGGAATCTCGATTCCCGAGATAATACACGAGCATGCTATGACACCAAACCAATAGAGGATCTTTTCTTTCTTCATTCCTTTTCCTATTTCTTGGAGCGTTGTTATATAGAAGCGGTGAACAGCGTTCGCGGGTTCTTGATTACTTTACCGAGGATTAGGGTCTAACTTGTCTTTTATTCAAAAACGATCTTGATCACACGGGGTCTTATCCTGAACTGAAACGCTGACTATAATTTTCTCTCTGAAAAGAATTAGTCACGGAGGCGACAACCTAGCCAGCAAAAATTTCGCGGCTTCTCTTGGAAATGGTAGCATTTAGCTTTAGCGGAAGCGGTTACATCGCTCTTCATGCATTCAGGTAAAAGACGTGGTGGCTGACTTTACAAACGGTGGTTCAACAGATGACTCTTTTCAGGCTTTTTTCGACATGCAGATTGATGGTGGAGGCTGGACACTATTTTCTACGAAAGTGTCTTCGTCAAAGTAGCGTCCCGGGAATAGCAGCGAAAACAAGAGACGCAGATGCAGCAAGTCACATTCACCCTGACATGGGGGACTGGGAATAAGTTATGTTCCGGTTAAGTGACTTCAATACCATTCGGGTTAATAAAAACAGGAAGGCAGGTGCTCCAAATAAGGACAAAACAGACTTCGACAAGTTCTTGATAGGAACAACATACAATATAATGTGATGTATTGCAATCCAAGGTTTTTACAAGTACACACGGTAGATCGCAAGGAGAGGATTCCCCCTTCTGGTTTGTCACATTATCAAATTTCCACCTCGATTCAAACGGAGGGATATCTGAATTCCATTTTGACACGGACAAGTGGCTTAAAATGTGGAATAGTGCTAACAGCTCAAACAGCTACGTCGCTTCCGACGGGTTACGGGTCGCGGGTTACTGTTATTTAAACATTCGCATCTGGGTGATGGTACGATACAGGCAAACTGAAGTTGAAAACTGAGATTTTTTTATTAGGATTTTACTCTCACTATTGGAATAAAAATAAGAATAACGAGAGGGATCATTAACACCTTGGCTGTTTAAAACTGTGTTTGATTGGTACACTGATATATTTGCAGATAAAGCAAGTGTATCCATGCGATGTCTCAAATCAACTAAAGCAATAAAAACAAGCATGCAAAAAAAAAATGAAACTGTTCACATAGAATAGAGGAGAACCAGTGAAAAGGATATCCCTTTGGCGGTCAAACAGATCCGGAAAAACTAATAAATGCCTAAGAATATCACATGAGAAATTATGATCATCTCCTCAGCTCTGTGTTAGTAAAGCTAGAGTTAGTAGGCAAAAAATACGTTCAACTTGAACAGCAGTAAAGTTTTGTGACTTCACCTAGAATTTCAGTGAAAAAAAAACAAAAAAGAAAAAGGAAAGTAATTTGAGAAAGTTATGCAAAAGTTCCCGATTGCTTTTATAAAGCATTCAAGTTTTTTCCGTAACACGAGAAATGAAGGAACATAGCTTCTTGATTAATATAGATTTTCTTAATACATGATCTGAAAGATAGCTTTTCCTAATAGCCAATCAGGCGTTGATATTTTCAGTCTTTCATAAGAATTTTCATTTTAAGATAATGATCTGAAAAAGCTGTATGCAGCCGGCTTTCTTTATATGACTTCATCCCTGTTTTAAGGCATTCGATCTGAATCGAAGTGAGGGAACAGCGCAAATATATTTCAGGTATTTACTTTTTTGTCACTAAAAAGGTCGATACAAGAAAAGATAAGATTAGACGTCAGTGAAATTTGACAGAAAAAGAACCCAGTGAAGGGCAGATCTTTCGTCTCTAAAGGAAGAAACTGGTATTTTTGGAATAATTACATAAGCGTTCTTCAAGAGCCGATGAAAAATCCATAATTACTCAGGTCTGCCATCAAATACTGCGCAGCCTTAAAAAGGGAATTAAGAATAGAAATTTTTTCACTGATTCCTGATATTTTCCATATTACTTGTTAATATTTATTTAGACATTCTCCGCTGCGATTATAACAATAACAACATTTTCATGTTTTTATATCCGGTGAACTGTTTACAGCGACACGTTGTCTCTGGCTCCTACTCAGAAGCGGAAATAAAAGAAAGAAAAACTGAAGAAAAAAACCTTCTTAAGAATTACGTCATTGAGGAAAATGTGATTGCAAAGGTAGGGGAGAAGTAAACATAAAAATAATTTATTTACAACCCTTCTTTTCTAGCATAAGGGTAATTTCATAATATTATGATAATTCAAATTGTTCTTATTGTCAAATGTGTAGAATGTAGCTCAGAGAAGTTTCAATGAAAGTGTCAGTCAAACATAGCAGTTTCTAAAAAAATAGTATTTGTCATGATAATTGTGATATAAATGGATCTTGTCGTTTTCTGAACAGCCTTGGAATCTGAGGTATATAATGATATTCCGAGAACATACAAGGGGATTTTCCCGGATAAATTAAATGCATTCTCGATCATTTTACTTTATTTGAGTATATTATTTAAACTCAACTCAATCTTCAAACTTCCCCTCAGCCCATCAGCTGAAAACAGGACGATGGTGTCCAGAAGGACTTTCTGGGGTTTCATTATTGCTTTCTGTAAGCACTGTTGTCTTTATTTCCTAGAGTGTCATTTTAAGCGACTAAATATTTTATTTAAACCTATTTCAAAAGATTGGAAATAGCTACTTTTAGACTTAAAGTATGGTTCTTATGAGAGTACCTTATGTTTTCCTCAAATATTCTCGCCCGAATAAGATCAACTCGGGAGAAAGTAAGTGAAATGCGCACGGGAGAGACACACTGTGGAGGAATTTTGCTCGAAGAAAGTACGAAAGTAGAGTTATTACTCCCTGGGAAATTATGATACAATACGGCACCGAAGTTTATTTTCGCCTCTCTCTCTCTCTCGAGTCCGATTGGTTACGTTCGCTGCAAACCATGTTCGTGACTTAATTTATGCAGGGCATATGGTCGACAAAACAAAATACGTTATTGCTGTTCTTCGTTCAATTTCCAACTTCATTGTACTACAAAACGATCATCTCTTCAATTATATAAAAAAAAAAAATAGGAAAGAAAACAGAAAAAACGAACGTTATCCACGGTGCTCAGAATCTTTTACTTTTCGTTGTTCGGCAATGAATGCACTCTGGCGTAATTATGACATTTGCATTTCTTATGGAAAAAACCTGTCCAAAAGGCGCTTGATTAGAAAAGTTCAGCCGACAAATTTTGAAAGCAAACCGAAAACCGAAAGAAAAGATCAATTATATATCTAACGGAAAAAAATATCTTAATAACGGTGTAAATTTATCGTGCGCTGGTTAATTTCAATCGACAAGCGATATCTTTTTTATCAACTCCGTTTTTCGATCGTTGCGCGATGCATGATGCTGAAATCGGCATATTAAATTCGATTGCTTAAAATTCTAATAATATACATGGAAAAATTACTCAGTTCTGATTGGTTAAGATAAATGCAGTTTGTAGGTAATTCAGTGCAGAAGAGAGTTAATTCAGTGCAGAAGAGGGTTAATCCAGTGCAAAGAGAGTAACAAATCAGACATTCTGATTGGTCAATAATCAAAGAAACTCACAGATAGCCAATCAAATGCGAGCCTTGGATGTCGCAACAAAATTTGAAAATTTTATAATTTGCGAGCGAAACAATGGCCGGCTTTTTTAGTAGGTTTTCTTTCGCCACCACAACTGAAAAACAGCTCAAACAACGAAAACACTGTAAGAAGCACTGCTTTTTGGTTGTCGGTTTGGAAAAAATGGTGTTTAGAGAGGGGAAAGGAAATCGAGAATTACGAGCCGACTCAGCCTAACACTTTGCTCGAGCGATCCAACGCCGAAATTAAAAACAAACATGGTTAAACCTCGGAAACGACGATTCCATTTCATCGAAATTGATTCGGACACAGACTGAACAATTCCTTGAACTGTTTAGCGGGACTTTGAACTTTTTTGCGCCTTAAAGATGTGAAGATATCATTGCATATTATTGTTTTGATCGTACGCGGTTCTTTTGACCGAACGCACGGTTGGAAAAAAAATATATTTGCTCTTGATGCGCGCGCTTTGCTTATGCTTAATTATGATAAGCCATCGCGTATTTTTCCATGTATGTTATTAACACGCAATCACATGATTTTTCTCGTACAATTTGGGATAAACAAGCAGTTGTTAATTTTTTCAAAGACCACAAAATTGCACGAGCCCTGGGGGCTCGTACAATTTTGTTAGTCTATAAAAAAATTTACTCGTGCTTATTTATTCCAAATTGCACTCGAAATCATGTGATTACCTATACAAAACAAGGAAGTTAATGACGTCTGTGCCGGCTAGATATCTCTGAATATCTACAGGTTTCAAAGCATCAGCGAGTAATCCGCTTAAGTTACGAACGTTATCCACTCTTGGCCAATTTTTCAATCGCTATAAGATGTAATAATCTCGAAATATTGACCTTAAACTTCTACAAAACCATTTGGAATTCTAATATAGACCACATGAGGTCTATATTAGAGCAAGATGTATGTATACACGGGAAGGGTTAAGTCTAAAGCTTCATTAATTCTTTGGAATGTGTGATACTGATGATACAGTTTCCTCATTTGTTCCTCTTTTGCTCCTCATCAGAACTATTGTTATATCTTTCCAGTGTGATGTCTATTCCACATAGTTTTCATATAACCAGTCTCCGCGTTGTCTAACGTATATAGCTTTTCATAAAAACGTTATTTCAAGTTTAGCGTTTCCTTAAACGTCTCTGAAAACAAGCTTCCATTCAAGATGCTCTGTTTCAATAGCTTTGGTGAAGTGTACTCTCATTTTCTCTTGGTTTTACAAGCAGTTGCACTAATTGTGGAAGTACGCCTTCAACGAGTTGTCCCATCGTTTGACTCAACTCAGCTCTTGCAAGCTCCAAAAGGACATTATGTGGAACTGAATTTCACCTTGAAGACTTCATATCCAACACCATGCATTGATGACATGTACCTTGAGGTTCGCGATGGATATAACGAGTCTTCTAATCTTCTTGGTGTATTTTGTGGGAGGAATATTTCTAGTACTGTGCGATCCAGTGGACAGAACTTGTGGCTGAGAAAATCAGATAAATTCAATCACGAGTGGTTCCATAACAATTTCAGCGGTTCATACAGTGACAAAACAGCTAATACAACAGGCGAGTATTGACTAACCGAATTTTTAATAAGCCACTGAAAGACAGTGCATATTTTGAGAGTTTTACACTTGATGAAAGGAAAATGGCCATGGCTAATGCTTCTTGTACTCAACTGCTTTTGTAATTGCTAAGAATTCTTTTTTTTTCCAGTCAAACCCAACCTTGATAAAGTGGTCGAGACTCAGTTCGCTCTTTTCAATCATTCCTCATCTCTTTGGTGTCCAGCACAAGGTGCACCGGCACCAGTCATTGTTTGGAGAAAGAACGGCATTCTGGCACAGAACAGTACAAGTGTACTATATCAGCTGAACATTACTGGAGAAAACAATGACAATTACAGCTGTGAGGTGAACACGCAGGATGGTTTTGACAAGAAACGAATCCATCTTCTCATCGAGAGTGAGTTTTAGTTACAAAAATGTGACTCTTAACCCAATCAGACTAGGAGGGAAATATATCGGAAATTGCAGAGTTTCTATACATTGTTGGTAAAATTAACAAATCCTAACGCTTTTTAACCTGGCTTCGCACCTAAGAGGCTGACACAATAGTTTTGTTGATCCAGCACTAAATTCTCTTACTTTACACTGGATCGTTATTGACTGTTAAAGGCTAATTCAGTTTTATCAACTGAGTTGACAGCGTAAACTGGCCACCGTAAAGAGTTTGAAAGCTGACGATTCGAGCGTTAGCCCTTCGTCAGAGCGACAGACACAGCACCAGTTTCTTTAGAAACTAACCCCCTTTAGTATTGAGTGTTCATGAGACACCTTGAGGCTTTTCCAGAGGGCTAAAATGCACTCTTGCAGCAATTCCGACAAAAGAGATTGACAGGTATTCACTAACTTACATCAACGATACGATCTTAACAGCATATCTTCTTTTTCTAGGGTGTCCAGATCCTTGCCGGTGTACCACGGCAGACGGAATAATGCGCGCAGTTACCCGCATTGAATGCAAAGGAAAACATTTACAGTCTGTTCCACGTCGCTTGCCCTATTCTACAGAGAAATTGTAAGCATATCAGCTCTTCTTTTTTTTTTGGAAGGGTGGGTGGGAGGGGGGAAGGGGAGGGGGGAGGAATACACAACTAGAAAAGGCTTGAAACATTCGAATTTAATCAAGGATATTGATCCCCTATTCAGGGATTTGCAAGACAACCAGGTAGAGGAGCTCCCACCTGCACTGTAAAATGAAAAGAGCCAAATTGACCCCAAAAGCCAAATTGGCCCCAATTTCTCGAGGGCCAGTTTGGCCCATCAAGGTTTGTTTTGGACTATTTGAGCCAAAACGGGCGAGACAGGTTCCATTTCGACTCCTCCAAAATCTGAATTGGCCCCTATGAACTTTTGGAACTTTTTCTCAATTTGGCCCTTCCAAGAGCCAAGTAGGATTGACCAATTTGGCCCCAAAGAGGTGCAATTTAAAAAAAAAAAAGAAAAAATAATTTTCTTTTTTCGACCATATTTCGTTCCCTATACTATTCCTCATAAAGTGTTCAAATTTTCAACGGTTCCTCTCGTAACTGAACACCGAGTCACACAACGAATTAATCGTTGGCTTTTTCTCGAGACGTGAGCGTCAGCTGCCTGTGATGGCATTAGTCGAACCGCCCTAGACCACGTGCGTCGGAAACAATGAATTATAGCAGCGAATTCGTCACTGAAGTGGCTGTTTCTTGGCAACAGTCGCATGGAATGAGACTTAAGAAAGGAAAGGTAGGCAAAAGAAATTTCTTAACAACGTATTTTACTGCAACTTTACATTCACAAACTTGACCGCTCCATTGATCTTTGTTCGTATCTTATCTTGCAGAAAAAGACGGTTGCGATGGCCAAGATCTCCTTGCCATCGCCCAAGATGCAGACGTACCAAGGCACTACATCCCTATTATAAAAGAGCGTCTAAAGCTCAAGAAATTGATTGCAATGAACGCTGAACCTAGAGATGACACAAGTTCTTCGTCGGTACGATAATTAATTTTCCTACCAGAGAATTTGACACATGAATGGTTCGCCTCTTCTCCCGAGTCTTGTTGAGTCTCAGCGGTTTCGCAACTAAAGTCACGTGATCAAATTTTGGCGCCGAGAGATAGAGACGGTTACAGTTCGAATACTGCATTTGCACAAGATGGATTTAACTTATTTCAAGATTCTCTGATTTTAGGATCTCTCACTCTGAATTCTTAATCTTTTTCTTGAAAAGATGAACTGATATTTTTATGTCTATGTCTTTGTTTGCATCCACTTTTTTGGCTCTCACTCTTTCAGCGTGCAGAATCAAGTCCTTCGAGTAAGACGGTTCAAACGTCGATTGATGATTCAAATAACATCAGCGATTATGGAAATTTAGAGGTGACATTGGCACCGAAAGAAAAGGGTAAATCGCCCAAGGATCTCTGTTTTACGGACGAGGCGACAGAACTGAGCACTGTCTAAGTAAGTTCTTGCATATTAAACTTAGCAGGATGGTGAAGAGTACATTATCGATTACTTTCTTTCGATTATATCCTAAAGGAAAACACACAAGGTGCCAGTTGGTCAGTTATAGATGACAAATCTCGGGGATTGCACCTACAAAAATGGCGAGATTTGCTTTATTTTTATTGAAATATATTAGATATGTATTTACTTGCACCATGCATGAAACAAAGTAAACTCAATTTTTAAATCTGGTAAATTAAAAAATTAGTGAATTGATAGGATGTTATCAGACAGTTTTATTTTTTTTGAAAACAAATATTTACCTACAGGTTCCTCCTGAATGGCTTTCAAAATTCCAACTACCATCGAGGGTAAGAAACTTTTCTTTGTTTTGTTTTTTAAGTCTACAAGCAATCCTTATTTATTCATGAATACTGAACTAAAACTGAAGTGCATAGAGGTATGATTTCTTTTCTTGATAAGTACATATACAGTTTGGTGAAAATACATCATTGATGATCACCATTATTGTGTTTTTACTTCTTATGCACAGTTTGCTTACAAATATTTTGCAACTTTGTAGTTGCAAAAATTTACTGTTCTCCAACAACAAATTAATTTGCTCATTTGTTTGTTTTTTTGTACAGTTCTCTGCCTCAGTAGAGTTGGAGACCAGGAAGGGATATCTCATCAGCAGCCTAAAGTACTCTGAGAAACAGTGGATTGCAAAAAAAATTATTGCAGAGTAGCCTTGTATGGTTAGCAGGATACTAGACTAAGTTGACTTGGAAACTGAATGGATTGGTATGGTCTAAAAATCTATTGCTTCACCTCTTAAACTAAAAAGTTGCAAAATAATCACTCTCACCTTTTAAGTTCATGACCTTTGTTCTTGTGTGTTTGTCATCACATGCATTTAATGAAGTTGTGACCATTTTGGAGGTACAAGTCCAAAAAACTGCTACTTTGGTACTAAGATGAACAGCTAAAATTTCTGAGCCCATTTGCCAATGAAGTCCAGATACAAAGGTTCAAGTACTTTGGGGTTGTATTAATTTTGCCTTTTTGTTTAGTTTTTTTGATTTTGCAATTTTTTAAAATATTCCTGTTGTCAAACCATTAGATAAATATTGGACATAGAATAGCTGATTTTTTTCAGATATTTTGGGAGTCATACATTAGTTTTTCAAGTCTTGAATGGGAGACAAATTACACACATTGAGCTAAACCTCCACTTCCATTTCTGGTGTTTTAGCTTGTAGTTTTAGAAAAACAATATATATATATGTAAATGTGGGGGTAGAGTCTACCTTGGCATAAAGTGCTCAATGCTGTGGTAGCAGAGCTAAGTATACATAAGTTAAAGAATTAAAGAGGACACATCAGTTCTATGTGACTCTGAATTTCGCACTTAAGTGCTTGTCAGACAGAACTTTTCTGTCTGACAAGTGCTTAGGTGCAAAACTCAGTCACAGAGAATTGATGCGTCCTCTTTAATTCTTTAAGTTAAGTGTGTATATATATATTCTTTTTTTTTCTGGCTACAGGCACTTTTTGTACTTTGGCTTGATTTTAATGTGGTTGTAAAACTTGTTTTTATTGCATAGAGTAGCTGATGTTGATTCAGCAATAAGAGATTATGTTCAGCACAAATTCTAATTGTTGGAGATCTTCAATACATCAATCACCTGAATATAGTAACAGAGGGAAGTGTAATTTTGTCACTTCTCACAAGAAAAGATTCTTGATGCTCTCATTGGGTTACTTGGCTCATTTATATTTTCTTACAATCGGTCAAAGGCAATTTGGACTTTTTTTAGAGCAAGCATTGCTTGAAATTGGGCACAGGCAGACTCTTGTCACTGTTTCCTCTATTTTCAATGACTTGGCAAATACCTGCGGTAGTACTTGCTGATAGTTTATATTTTGATAATATCTAAAGTAGCAATATGAGTGCATGTATTCTCAAATCCACTGGAAGAATACTCTTTGCTGCTCTAAGGCTTTTTGTTTTTCATATGCACAAATCAAACAAGATCTATATTCTTGTGCAGGAACTGGACCATTTGTTGCCTCTGTCTTATTTTGATAATTTTCTGTACTTTAAATCAGTCTTAATTATAAGCTGCTTTACATTACTGCATTTGCTAAGTCATTGAAAAGGGAAGCTTTACTCACAAGTGTCTCTTGAGTGTAATTTCTTGCAATGCTTGCACTATTAAGAAGTATATTGATTTAGGGAAGGGATCTATTTTAGAAAATGGTTGAATTAATGTTAAATATGTATGTATGTTATATTCTTTCACATGATGTTTTAAAGTTTGTCTGTTTTATACCACAATTAAGATTCATAATAACTGTAAAATCAGGTAGTGTAAAAGGTTTTTACATAAACAATATCTAGAACCTAATAAATGAGTGTTTGAAAGATAAAGTATGTGGTGTATTTTCATTATTTGAATGTAAGGGGGAAAATCAGCATGGAGAGGAAAGAGCCCTCTACTTCTGAAGTGGCCCACATTGGAGCTGAATTGGCTCTTTTTAAAGGGGCCATTTGTGAGAGGGCTGAAATTTCTGGGGCTGTTTTGGCCCCTATAAATTTCAAAGTGGCCCCTGTATTTTTCAAATTCACCCTTCACATGGTCCAATTTGGCCCCTACAACGGGGTCAATTCAGCCCCAAAATTGGTGCCAAAAACAGCCCCATTTCAATGGGGCCGAATTGACCCTAAGCGAGTGCCAAACTGGACTCACTCGTTTTGGCCCCATTTTTGGGGCCAAATCAACTCTTTTAATTTTACAGTGTGGAGTCTTCGATAACAACACCGAGTTGGTCATCTTGTAAGTAAACGATATATTTTCTTACGTTGATGTTAACGCGCGATGATTTACGTCTTGCTAAATTTCTGACGCTTGGTGAGATAAAATGAGGCAGGGAGAATACGAAAGGTGACCTTCCTTTCAGATTTTCTCTCTATAGTTGTATAGCTTCGCCCACCCCTCCCGCCTCTTCCCTCTCTTTACCAATACAGCAGTGATACTCTCCTGTGTGATGGCTAAACAAAGTTTCAACTTTTCCAGATGGCTACATTCCAACAAGATCAAGAAGTTGCAAGATGATTCATTTTCTCAGTTAGTCAACCTGCGGGACATGTAAGTGCCAAGTTGCCATCATATCGGCTACTAAACGGCTTTCTCAAATATGAAAAAAGCTAAAAAGACAAAATATAGATTAACTTTTACTCGCTGAAAGAGTCATGATTACTAATGAAAGAAAGATCTTAAATTCAGTCATGTCAATTTCTTAAGGACTTATTTTATCAAATGCCGGTTTCAATTTTTGATAAAATCTTATTGTTATCAATCCGACTACTTTCAAACACATGGTTGGAGGGATGAGTTTTACTCTATTAATCTGATGTATTCAGCCCAAATCATCACCTGGTCTAACTTCAAAATATCAATCCAAGACAACACGATCTGATAAACTTTTTACATTCTCTTAACCAATGCCAATACATTTAAATTTTGCAGAAGGAGAAATTGACCTTTACCTTCAAATCAGGGTTGGTTTTTTTTAACAGAAATCCGATCTCGGTTATAACTAATTCCTTTAAGTTTCAAAACAAACCAGAGGAACACCTTTCATGGGGTTTTTCCCTGACGCATGCAATATGAACAATAATAAAATTAAATTTTTTGCATAGAGAAACTCAGCCATTCGGAAGGATGATCTTTTACGAATTCTCAAAAGAATCATAGCTCTCCAAGCTCCAGCTCCATGCAGCTTCAGTTGCATAAAAGAGGACTTAAGAAAACATTTAAAATGATGTTTAGGCGGACCACTTTCGTTCCGCACCAGGTGGTAACTCTTTTCCTTAGTTCCTGGATTCGCTCTTTTCCCCTGCGTGCAAAATAAATAAACCTCAGCCCCCTTACCCCAATCCATATTTACTCTCGGAGGACACTATAGCCTTTCAATGATATCTGCGTGGCACAGAAACCAATGACGACGCAACACTAATTAATGACTCATGTCAATACATGTTGGGATTCAAATCCAATATCTCAGCTCGCGTACTTACTAAATCTTGGTTTCAAATTTTAATTGCCCTCAAGTCCATGGGTAGCAGAGGGGTCTGCTTAGAATTCATGATGGCAAGATCCAAATCCTATATCCCAGCTGGTATATTTACCAATTCCCGGTTCCAAATTTTAATAGAAGTTTCATACCGAAAGATGGAAAATAAATTTGAATTTGAATATAAAAAAAAAAATAAGCAAATTTCAACTGTTTATATCTTTAACTTCCTCATCAAAAAGATACGCTTTTTGAAGAGAAAACTAAAGGTATATATACATAAGCAATAAGTTTGCTCTATTTAACTTGGATAATGAAAGTATGTTATGATCTCTTAAATCTTACCAGTTTTTAATATGCTTAGTTTTAAAAGCCTAGAATAGATTCAGGAACCTGGTTTTTACTAATGCGGAATAGAACTTATATGCAGTGTATATCCTTTTCGTAGTCTCTTGGCTTACAACCAAATAGAAGAGCTACCACCTGGAATATTCAATTACAACACCGAGTTAAGAGCATTGTGAGTAACACATTTATACGTTCATATTTGATACTACTGGTTAGAGAGATATTTTACCGACTGTTGAAGAGTTAAAAACTCATCCATTCAAAAGGAAATTTGAATTTAACAGGTTTAGAAAAAAAGAAAAGTTCTAGCACCCTCCTACTCACTACCCCTATGGACTACTAAATATCATCGTGCCACTCACACCGATGAAGCTGTAACAAAAATTCACTTGAACCTTTAAGGTAACTAGAAACCTAACCGCAGACAAAACTGTTGTAAAATATCGGTATATGATCAGTTTCTTCCTCTAGGAACACAAGTTGGAACTAATGGGACTGGTACACCTGAACACAACTAGAGACAATAATTAAAGTAGTAATAGTGCTGTAAAGGATCACATTAACGCTAAACATAGAATGGCTCTCGAAATGGATCGGGTGTCCCAAAATTTTACGGAAATTATCGCAAAATTTTAAAATTGCCCCCGCCAGATAGAAAACGCACAACAAAATTACACGAGAGGTGAGATTTTTAATCAAATCTAGGATATGTCCTCGATCAACAGACTCGATACGACCTGTAGAAGAGCTATCACCTGAAGTGTTCCAAAACACAGAGGTTATCAGTTATTTTTCGAAGGAGTATGAGCCAAAGCTTCCATTTGACCCAAGGAAATTCTCCGTTATTAGTCCACTATGTTCAAGGACAAGTATCCAGGCATATTATTAAGTCAAACAGTTATATTCTGTTCATTGTACTTTAATTTCTTTTTTTTACTACCATTTTATTGTCGAAAACGAAGGTTCATCTGAACGACTTTTCAACGTGAATTTGTAATGAAATAAATTTCTTTCGACTTACGGATTAAAATCAAATAAAGATCCTAGCGGGTGAGTTGCAATTTTACCAATTGGAGGAAAGTTGACTGAAAAAGATTCAGCCTTGGATGGGATTCGAACCCATGCCTCCCAGATACTCACTGGGCGCTGCTACTAACTGAGCTAAAAGGCCACACGTTAGGAGTGAGGAAAATTTGCGAGGATTCATCTCTTTCGTGGAGGAAACTTATGCTCTTTACAATGAGATAAATCAAATAGAGCCATGACAGACGCAGGTGAGCTGAAATTTTAGCAATTACCGAATAGGCCGGAAAAAAGATAGGAAAAAAAAAACCTCGTTATTTGACCTTCTAGGATTTGCCTTGCTCAAAATGTGGGAGGAGTAGAGAAGTCTGGAAATAAGTATTTTTTTTCCTATGTCGAAAGATGTTTTATCGACACTCTGAGTGTACTATAAACTGTTTGAGGTCACTAATTAGCAAAATTTTTGTTTAGTACGGTACTTCACAATAGTTTTTAAATATTGTTTAGACTCATTCCCAGTATAATTTATCCAACCAAAGAGGTAGATTTTGAGTTGAAATTCTTTTTAACGCAAGGAAAATAAAATAATAATAATGATAAAAAAAATACCTATGGGCCAAGGTGGAACTGAAGAAATAATTATTTCTCCGTGACAAGAGTTAAAACTCACTTCTCACAAAATTTATCTGCAAATATCTTTAAGCTGGAAAGTTACCTTGGTATTAAGAGGTCAGGAATAATTTGAAAATGACAGTGTT